TGGATAAAATGGAAACTGGGAAAAAACAGAGGGCATGTGGAGTGGTGAGCCTGGGAAGACCCAGGTTGAATACCTGGGTTGCTTATCCAGCTGAATGAGTGAATATCTGTTAGTCCTGAATAGTCAACCAGTATTAATCATTAACATTATTAGGAGCATACAGCGTCCCTTATTTTATATCCCTCATGGAAGAAAAACAGATGAGAATTCAACAGCAAGCAATTCTTTGATCCATTTTTATGCTCAGTTGCAGAGGAAGATTTCACCTGGATTAAATGTTTTCCCTTATAATGAACATTCACAATCCAGAAAACAGCATGATGGTGGAAAAAGAAAGCAAGGCCTTTGGGGGGGGGGGTGAACTGGTGCCATTCATTACTGATTGGTCTTATGCAGGGGTCTTCAAACTTGGCCCTTTGATGACTTGTGGACTTCAACTCCTTGCCTGGCTGAGGAATCCTGGGAGTTGAAGTCCACAAGTCATCAAAGGGCCAGGTTTGAAGACCCCTGATCTTATGTATTTGGGGAGTATGATATTTGCTTATATAGCTCTATTTGACCATTATGTTGGGTTCCTATGGCATTTTATGTATAGCTGTGCTATAAGCCATCTGAACAGCAGTTGGAATAAATCTAATAAATAAATAACTGGGACGCAGTACTATCTGGCCTTTTCCCTACCTGTTTTAAAAGTTCCAGATCTCAGTTTGTGAACTGGGCTAAATTGCCTTCAAAATCTAATCTCCTGCACCAAGTGTTTGCTTCTTAACTAAGAAGAAGGACCCAGATTTTATTTCTGAGATGAAGAGGATATCACTCAGAGTAAAACGATGACTCCAGCTAGACCTTGTGGTGTATAATCCAATCTAAGTTATTTCCTGTTGAAATTCTGGTTTCCTTTCCTGCATCAACATCAGTCTGAAAGTTTGTGTCTGCGCATGCAGGCATTGTGAGTCTGTGTACAGGCACACACAAGGTAAGCAACGTGATGGGACCCACTTAATGAACGCCATATGGCATTACTTGCAGAAGCAGTTCAAGCTTTCCTAAATTTGTAATTTCCCCAGTGTCTTTTCTGATGTGGCCTAAGTGCAGCCCCCAAAAGTTAAGCCATGGTTTTTTACAACATCCCACCGCAGCCTGGTTTACACAGTCAGAAGTTTTCAGAGCTAAGGTAAGGCAAACAAGACCAGATACACTAAGGTTTAGTGGAATGTGTGAATGCAAGCTATTAAGCTTCTGCACTGACAGGAAGAGGATTTAGTCCCTTCCCTGCCCCTTTGAAGATCCTACCACCTCTTTGAATAATTTCCTAGTCACCAGTCTGGATTGGCATCACATCCCAAGGAATGCACCTCTCTTGTATACACCCAGAGAGAGTTCAAAGTCCACATGATTTAAATGAGCAAAAATGCAGCTGAGTCCACTGGATAGGAATGAATGAATGGAGGAGATTTTTCTGTTTGGAACCATGCCAATCATCTCTCTACCCACTCACCCCCGTCAAGGTGGTTTCCCCCCCCCTCTATTCTTTCTAATCTTCATTTCCTTCTACAGCTCCCTGTGCTGAATTCCCAGATTATTTTTCATGGCTGCAGTCAGAGACTGCTACCCTGATGGGAAATTGGTATGAAGTTAGTCAAACTAGGAATAGGGGAAAAAATATATGTTTTGCACGAGTAGATGGGCTGGAAGACAGAAAGAAGAGATAGAAAGAAAAAAAGAGTATACAGTTCTAGACCAATGCGTCACATGCTTTCTTCCAGATCAAATACTTCCAGCATTATGTCTTTGCAAAGTGAGTTTTATTTTAGTTGAATAAACCAGAATATGTAGGAAGAACCCCACCTGCTATCCAGCAGACCACAATTACTTTCAGAAATCTTTAATTAACCAATATGCCTTGATCTGAATGTCACAGTAAACTACAATTTCCTGGTTCAGCAAGCCAGGATCTTAAGCTTTCTTAGTTTTACAACAAGCTCAGATCTTGAAGCTTCTTAGTTTAATCCTCAAACTAAGCATAGAAATTGGCTTAAGATAGTGACATGTTCCCAATTTGACCAATCTGGTTTACCAATTCGGGTCCAAGAAAATTGGGCAGGGGGGGGGAGGGTGTCTCCCAAGTGCAGAGTCACAGAATCAAGATTGGAGCAGTTGACACCTCTAATAAACAGACAGATCTGTGATGCCAGCAACCATAATTGAAAATCAATTTTGGCCCAGAATTGTGTGCAAATCAGGCCATTCTAGCTTGTTTTGATACGGTGTAAACTACAAACCTGTTTTAAGGTACATCAAAGATATTTTGATGTATGGGGTAAAGGAGGTTTGTGCATATTTTGCATTATCAAGAGTCAGTCCCTCAATCTCAGTCTGTAACCTTGAGGGCTCTCTGCACTAACACAATCAGCTTAGGAAATTAATATTTTTTTAGTGTCATGTCCCATCACCAGCTTTCCTGTGGAAAACAGATTATCACTTGTAGCACCTGCCTAAAAGACAATAAAGGTTGCAGCCAAAATCAAGATTCTATCATGCTTTAAATATTCCGACTATTGGTTTGGGGTTTATATGTATTTTTTACACTGCTCTTTAAGATAAGTATACATTGCAGGAAATAACAAAACAAGTCAATGTTACAAATCAGAAAGCCGAGACACCAACATTTTTAAAAATGTATCCAATAAAACAAAACACTTTCTAGGAATCCAAGGGAAATTCAATAAAACTTAATAGACATCTTCTAGGGACTTATATCTTTCCCACCAGAAGAAAATTCCACAGATGTAAATGGGATTTATTCTCTGGAATATAAAACCCACAGAAGAGGGCAACATTTAGGACTGGGCACAATGACTTAATATATCCCTATTCTCTCCGACCTATTAAGAGAGGTTACCAAATTGTTTGTCTAGCCTGGCAACTTTAAGAAGTGTGGACTTCAACTCCCAGAATTCCCTGACCAGCAAGGAACTCTGGGAGTTGAAGTCCACATGTTGAGGTTGAGCAACCCTGTTCAACCCTCCCCCCCAATCCTTCTCCAAAATGCTATTTCCTTCTTGTCAAAACTCATCTGAATTTGGTACTTTAGTCAGAAAGCTGCAAAGGCCAAACGTATGAAGCTTATTACAGTCTGAAGTCTTCTGGTTATGGATGGCATTTTGTGTGTGTGTATTTGTGTGTATGTGTGTATGTGTGTGTGTTTTGCTCAGAAAGCAGCTCAAAGGAGGAACGAGGAGGAAAAGACAGGCGGGAAAGTTTATTGCTGCTCCAGCAGAATTCCAGAAGTTGTCTTAATATTTTGCTCACAGAGGGAATAAATGCGTCGCCTGCTACCATACCTGGAAAATCCCATTTGCTGCCCATGTTACATATATTTTATATATTAACTCTAAACCGATGGCATTTTGACCTGTTTTCTGGCTGTAGAATCTATGCAGATCGTCCTCGACTTACAACAGTTCATTTAGTGACCGTTCCAAGTTAGAACAAACTTGGAAAAAGTCCCACCGTTTTTCACACTGACGGCCGTTGCAGCCTCAGACCCTTGGTAATTGGCTCATATTTATGACGGTCGTAGTGTCCCCCTTTGCGGCCTTTTGTGGTCGTTAAGCTGAGGACTAACTGTATTCCAGCTGCCTCTGCAAAGAAGCTCAAAAGATACCGGCTGATTTTTTAAATCAGAATTTATGGACTACCTTCTCTGCCGTAACAGCTGTCTAAAACAAGGGATAATAAGCAATACATGCACAGCAGGGAATGGCAGAGAGCGTACAAATATTGTGGTTTGGTTTTTTTTTAAATAATAATCATAGGTTGGAAAGCAAATACAAAGAAAAGGAAGAGGCAATCAAGCCGGAATGTGTAACTCTGAGCACATTCCAGTTCTTAAAATGCTTCAGGAATTTCTTTTAGGGTTTTGGAGCTGTTAAACACACACTCTTAAGCACACACACACACACACTTGTTATGAATGGGACACACACAATGTCGGTCAGGATTAACAATAACAACAAAAAAGCCCGAAGCTGTATGCAGAGATTCATTGAGCTACCAATCTTAACAGGTTTTTTTTTTTAAAGTATGTTGAAATCTGGGCTGTTTCCCCCAAAATCTTGGGCTGGGATAGGACACAAGTTCCTTATAGGACTTTATATATTATTGGAATGTTTCCCATTTGCGTCGTACGTCATTCTTTTCTTTGTTTTTATAATTCTCACCGTTTGTCATAATGTATGCCACCCAGAGTCTTTATGGAGTTGGGTGGCCTATGAAATTTGACAAGCGAGGGCAAATTGCAGGAAATCAAAAACACACCATGGGATATATCTTGGCCTGTTGTGAGAGTGTTCAGCTTTTTTTTTTTTAAGGTTCTAGTCCCTATTATTATAACACAGGAGATTTGTAGTAAATTCTGAAGTAAATGGGTGGCCCAAGGGATTGGGCTTGATTGCTAGGAGTTCCTAACGGCCTAATATGATTTTAGGTGTTCCCACGATTAATCAGAGCAGAGTAGAGGTTGTTCTTGACTTACAACGGTTCATTCAAAGTTACAACGGCACTGAAAAAAAGGGACTTAGGACCGTTTTTCACACTTAAGACCGTCGCAGCATCCCCAGGGTCAGGTGATCAAAATTCAGATGTATGTGTTCCCTTTGAGAGCGGGCAACTAAATTTCATTTTTGATGTGCGCCGTTGTGCCCACAGTAAAACAAAAATGACAATAAAGGTTATCTTATCTTATGTTCATATTTATGATAATTGCAGTGTCTCGGTGTCCTGCAATCCAAGTCAATGGGATTCGCTTAACATCCGTGTCCCTAACTTAACAGTTGCTATGATCCACTGAACAAGTGTGGCGGGAAAGATTGTAAACTCACTTAACAAATGTCCCACTTAGCAACAGAACATTTGGGGCTCAACTACAGCTGTAAAACGAGGTCTAGCTGTAAAATGGTAAAGCAGACAAGGGTGCAAATCCTGAACCCAGGACTCACCTTCCACGCAGTGTTCCACCTCTTCCAGGTTGCGCAACGTAATCCTCATGAGGCTGGAGTTGAGCATCAGTTCGTTCTTGTGCGTGGGCCACATGTAGTGTGGGGCGGGATTAACGAAGAAAATCCGCGTGTCCCCTGTGGAGACCTGGTTGTCGCAGATTAAGGGGTCTCCAAAACCCCCAATCATCACCTTGTTCCCGCCATCCAAGAGGATCTCATGAGTCACCACGTCTTTCCCCTTCAGGTATCTCCACACCCTCACCTGAAGAAGGGAGAAGAAATTAAAGGAGGGGATGTTAGAAAGAACACCGAGATTGTGACTCCTGTCCTGTGACAACAACTCAATGGCGGCCGCGGCGGCCGCAGAACTACAATCAAAAGAACGTCATAAAATCCCACTTTTTATTATAGCATCTCTCTTTTTAAAGATTAGAACCCACAGCTTCGTAGCCGTGAAGTTTCAGCCGGCAATTATCTTCTTCAGCGTCGTTTCTCTCCCTAAAATCCTCTGAAACCAGTTAAATTAAAACCATAAACAACAAAACGAACAAAATAAAACCGGCAAAAAGAGGTAGGGACATATATAAAGGACTGATGCAAAAAAAAAAATCAAGCCGCGTGAAGAAGGGAGGGCAAGGGAAGGCATCGTGGAGTCAAAATGAAATGCTTAAAAAAAAAAAAGGAAGACATGAGACAGAGGGGGGGAAATTATTATCAATTAGGGGAGGAATTAAAACATTGTCACCCATTCCCTTACAATGAGCATTCACAACCTAGAAAACAGCATGATGGTGGAAAAAGAAAGCAAGGCCTTTGGGGTGTCATTCATTACTGATTGATCTTCTGCAGGGGTCTTCAAACTTGGCCCTTTGATGACTTGTGGACTTCAACTCCCAGAATTCCTCAGCCAGGCACGTGTGCCTGGCTGAGGAATTCTGGGAGCTGAAGTCCACAAGTCATCAAAGGGCCAAGTTTGAAGACCCCTGGACTAGAAATCTCCAAGGTCCCTTCCAAGCTTATTATTCCATGTTCTAATAGTTTCCTTGCAGTTCTCACTTTGAGCGTAAATCCTGACTTTGCTGCAGACGGAAAGAAGAGCATTTGCAGACTTGCCATACCCAGAATATTTCTGCGTGGCGTCTGAGCCCCTTGTGTAGAGAGAGGTAAGGAGCAGACAAAATACTTCTCAGTATCAAGAAGCAAACACTAAACATTCTTCAAGTTTGACCTGACAGAGGCTGGCACTTTTCTAGCATCGTCTGGAAGAATGAGAAGACGGAAGAAATGGCCCTGACAAAGCCCACGTTAAGACGCCGGAGTTAACAGGCACCACACCGGGTGAGAAACCAGTTCCAAGAAAGGCCTTGGCATCGGCTGCCTACACTTTGCTCCAGATTCAAGTCAGAGCAGGAGGAAGGGGGAGAACCCACAACCTACAAGCACACAAACGGCCCCACCTCATTTCTTGGCAAAACAAGGGAAGATTAGGAATTGGAGAGGCCCAAGCGGTGCATAGCTTGATGGAGAAAAATGGCCGCAAGCAGATTTTTTTTCTGCCAAAGTTGGAGCCAACTTTGCTCTTCCCCACCTGTTTCTCTCAGCTTTTCTGGGAAGAGAAGGTTTTTTTTTTCCCCTCCCTAAATGCAAGTAAAGGAATGCCTGGAGTTACCTGGAGTTGCCAATCGGTAAAATGTTATTTTATTTAAAAATATTTAGAAGTTTGGAAGGTGAGGTGAAGGCAATATCTTTGTCGATAAGAGCAATCTGCAAACAGCACCGATTTTGGCTATCCAAACATTTTGCTAAACAAATCAACTACTTTACTATTATTTAAACACATATCACCATCACCAAACCATCCCCCTGTAGCAACTGTGTCCTTTGCACTCAAGGAAGGCATATTTCTCTGGGAATTTAAAGATTATCTATCACCATCCTAACCCAATCATACCAATACCTTCCTTCCTGTAGCGCTCTTAAAGTATGCTTGTAACTACAAACCCCATCATCCTCACTCACAGATTGCATAACTCTTTTGCAACCGTGTGTGTGTGTGTGTGTGTGTGTGTGTGTGTGTGTGTGTGTGTGTGTTGGGTGGAAATGTAAAGCAATCTGTTTTGCGTTTCACTCCAGTCTAGGAGCATCTTTTGCAGGCAGATTTCGCTACTGTGAACACTGTAAATTCAAAATTTTGTGACACAAAATTTTGAATATATATATACAATATATATATATTGACGAAAGCTAGGTTCAGTTAATAAATTTTCTATATTTTTATTCTCATTTTTATTCTCTTGGTGATTGACTTGTTATTGATATATATATATATATACATACACACACAATATAGTTATACAATACTGTATTGATAAATTCACTATGTTATGAGACAGAGAGAGAGAGTTAGAGAGTTATACACATACAATAATACCATATTAATTAGATACGGTCATATCAGACTCCAAACCCAGAACAATAAAGCCTATATATAAAATATGGTTATATGGACACCAAGTGAAATTACCTTTTCTGGATCAATAAAAAGCTCTGGAGGCTTTCTGCCACAATATTGAATAAATAGGTACAGCTCCTTTTATTTTCCTCAATCTAGTCTACTTCATGGGGCCGTTTTGAGGATAAAAACAGGGGAGGCATACATGCCACCCTGACCTTTATGAAGAAAATAAATGAACTTTACCATAATGAATGAATGCAGGAGCGAAACCGAACTAAAAAAACGCAGCTCTGAGCTACCTTAAGGCCTGTAAACTAGGCATCATTTTTGCCTTATGACTATGTTGTCAGGAATCAGCCAAGGACTAAAGATTTCCAGAGATTCATTTTCTCACCTGGCTGGGAGGCAGAAGGAAGGAAGAAAGGAAGGAGAGAATCACTAAACAACCAGCTCAGGAAAGTTAAAACCACAGCTACCATTACCGGAGGCTGGGGGAAATTAACATGAACCACACTAAGCCCTTTTTAAGAGATTCCTTTTGGGTACACAGAGGATTTAAAAAATAAAAAAAAAAAGGTGGGAAGAGAGAATCCTAAGAAGATCAAGTCTGAGCAAAGGTGATACCAGCAACAAGAGATTTTTAAGCCAAGAGAAAGGGGGGGGGGGGAATGCTTTTAAGAAGTAGCTGAAATTCACATTGCAGGGGGGAACATTAAGAAGGAAGCCAACCACTTCAGTGAATTACCCATTAAGAACCCTGCAGGGTTAACTGGAGGGGTCTCCACTTTTTTGGAGGGGCAGCCTTTTTAAAGATGTTTTTTCTTGGCAGACTGCTAACGAAAGCCTGGGCACGTTTATTTGCATCACCATCTACAGCACCTAGGACTTTGCAAAGTCGCGTTTGTTTCATCGCCACATTGTTATGCCACACGTATTACTGGACTCTGGATGGGGTGCCAAACTACTCAGCGAAATAAAACCACCACAAAACCTACCTCCTCCTTGATACAGTAGTAGAGAAACTTCCCAGACATTAAAGCCATTAAACCAGGGGTCCCCAACCCCCCGGTCTGTGGATTGATAGCGGGCCGCGGCATGCCAGCAATGGGTCCACACAAACAAGCAAAGCCTCATCTGCAGGATGCAGGCAACACACAAAACCACGCACTCTCTGGTCCGTGGAAAAACCTCTCTCCATGGAACGGGTCCCCAGTGTCCAAAAGGTTGGGGACTTCTGCATTAAACCGTAGGATTCTCGGAGAAGCTGATAAATTTCGAAGCGTTCCAACACAGCTTGTCAGATAAAACCACCATTGGAGGGTTGGTGCTACATCCCCAGGCAGCAAATCACGGGTTGTTGTTTTTTTTGGTGCTGCGATACTGGTTGGATTTGTGCCAGTTTTGGTACTGAAAATCCTGGTTTACTGAAGGTTCAGTTGAAGACTGCATGGAATTCAATTGAAAATTGACTGAAAGTGCAGGGATTGTAATTGTTGTTGTTAATTACGAAGTCATGTCCGACCCATCGTGACCCCATGGACAACGTTCCTCCAGGTTTTCCTGTCCTCTACCATCTTCTGGAGTCCATTTAAGTCAGTGGTTCTCAACCTTTTTAATGCCGCGACCCCCAACCGGTCGTAAGTCGAGGACTACTCAACTGGTGCAGCACCGTTTGCAGAATGGGACTTTTGGCGGGCTCAGCAGGGCAGAGACAGCCTGGACAATTCCTATTGGCGTTTGAAAGAGAGTCTATTCTATTGGCTTTCAAAAGCCAATAGAATAAAAGGGAGCAGCATAGCTAAGGAAAAGGGGAAAAAAATGGCGGACTGCGTTGTTTGGCGACCCCCGTGAAATGGTCGTTCGACCCCAAATGGGGTCCCGACCCACAGGTTGAGAATCACTGATTTAAGTTCACACCTACTGCTTCAGGGACTCCCTCCAGCCACCTCCTTCTCTGTCGTCCCCTTCTTCTCTTGCCCTCCATCTTTCCCAGCATTAGGCCCTTCTCCAGTGAGTCCTTCCTTCTCATTAGGTGGCCAAAGTATTTGAGTTTCAACTAGGGATTGTAATACACCCTTCTAAATCTGAACATAGGTGACCTTCCTCTTCTGATTTAAAAAAAAAAAAAAAACCTCCTTGCAGAAACCTAATCAAAATAGGTTGCCCTTTTCATTAAATTTTGGTTTGGGGATGGGATGGTTGGTGTTTTCGTTTTCATTTCATTTCCTTTTTTTTTTTTTTTTTACAAAATCATGTGAGAGACTGCTAGCCAGGCCAGACCACCTTTTGCAGATCATTTAATCTGCCTTCCTGCACACAGCAAGGGTCGAGGAGATGATCCTTGTGGCTCCTTCCCAATGCAACCATTCTAAGGAAATGAAGCGAGCGCTGGGCGTAGCTTCCTATGTGTCTGGAATAAAATGAGCAAGGAATACGGTTCTGTTAACAGCGCACGGCCCTCTCCAGCTCACTAGTGCCCCAAACCTTGTTGAGACTTTTAAAACTACACAGCCCCTTTCTGAGGTCCATTTTCAGCTCCTGAGTCAGAGGAGAAAAGGTAGCAAGAACCAACCAAAGGAGACAGGATTAGCCTGTCTCCATCTCTCAGATCCTAACCTCTTCTTCCTCTGGGTTTGTTTTTTTTCCTCAAGAGTCAATCAGTTGTCTGGAAAATTAATGGTAGATTTTTTTCATAAGCTGCATTTTCTTACCTTGGGTGTGTGTGTCGGTATTTGGACTTAACCACACAGTTAAGAGCAGCTGCCACAAAGGCCAACACAGTGCTAGGCTGCATTAACAGAGGGATAGAATCAAGATCACATGAAGTGTTAACACCACTTTACAAGGCCTTGGTAAGGCCACACTTGGAATACTGCATCCAGTTTTGGTCACAAAAGATGTTGAGACTCTAGAATGAGTACAGAGAAGAGCAACAAAGATGATCAGGGGACTGGAGGCTAAAACATATGAGGAACGGTTGCTGGAATTGGGTATGTCTAGTTTAATGAAGAGAAGGATGAGGGGGGGACATGATAGCAGTGTTCCAATATCTCAGGGGCTGCCCCAAAGAAGAGGGAGTCAAGCTATTCTCCAAGGCGCCTGAAGGCAGGACAAGAAGCAATGGATGGAAACTGATCAAGGAAAGAAGCAACCTGGAACTAAGGAGAAACTTCTTCACAGTTAGAACAATTAACCAATGGAACAGCCTGCCACCAGAAAGCTGTGAATGCTCCAACACTAGAGGTTTTTAAGAAAAGACTGGACAGCCATTTGTCTGAAATGGTATAGGGTTTCCTGCCTGAGCAGGGGATTGGACTAGATGACCTCCAAGGTCCCTTCCAACTTTATTATTATTACTTATGTAAAGTTTCAGATCAGCCAGCCTCAAAGTTACAAGCCTTTCACGCCTGTCCTTTGCTGTGGAGCCTTAAGACAGCCCTGTGAAGTAGACCGACTTCTTAAGCTTAGTGACTGAGGATCATTTTTCACACTTACAACCGTTGCAACCTCCCCGTGGTCATGTGATCAAAATTCAGGCTCTTGGCAACTGACTCGTATTTATGACGGTCACTATGTGGTCTCCTTTTACGACCTTCCGAGAAGCGAAGTCAATGGTGAAGCCAGATTCACTTAACAACCTTATTAAGTTATTACGATTCATTTAACAACTGTGGCTAGAAAGGCCATAAGATGGGGCAGAAACTCACTTAACAGCTGTCCTGCTTAGCAGTGGAAGTCGTGGTCGTTGTGTCAAGGACAACCTGTAGTGATTTTTCTCCCTGTTCTCCACGAACAAGCAGCACTATAGAGAAATCTTTTGGGGAATAGAGAGGCTGGACCGATGTTGCAATATAGATTGAAAAATGCCAGCAACTAGCTGCCACTTCAGTCTGGTTTGTTTGTTTTAGAATCAGCAAGGTTTAGCAGAGGAAGGAGGAGGGAAAAAAAATCTACAGCTGGAGGGTGATTTCAGAGTCAAACAATAGACAGCAACTATTTTCCACTAGAGATTTGATTCCAAAGGGGTGGCTTTGAAACTTTTCCAAGCAGAATGTGTAAAAAGCAACTTGCTATATAGGACAGATGTTTGAGGTTGGATTCCCTCAGCAGTGATTCTTCAAAGACTCTTCAAGCCGTCGCTTCTCCTTACTGGCTGCCTAAAAATACATAATTATGCACCAGGACCTTTAAACCCAACGAGAAGCATATGTCCTTGCCTTTAAAATGGAATTCTGTTCAAACGTTATTTTAAAACAATTTTAAAAAGTACCTGTAATCAAATAGGCATTTATGAGAGTGCCACCCAATCTTAGAACTGAGTTGGTGCTAAAAGGAGATTAAAAAAAAGGTTTGGGCGATTGAAAAGGCAGCAAATCACGGGCAGGCATTCGCTCGAGAAGACGGCTAATTCAGCAATTCGGTTTAACCAAAGGGGCACTAAACCAGGGAAGATACGGGAAGTCCTCGACTTGCGAAAATTGAGCCCAACGTTTCTGTTGTTAAGTGAGACATTTGTTAAGTGGGTTTTGCCCCATTTTACCATATTTCTTGCTACAGCTGATAAATCAGTAACATGGTTGAATCTGGACTTCCCACTGACTTTGCATAATGTGACTGAGGGACACTACAACCTGAGTTGTCAAGTGTCTGAATTTTGATGGCAAGATCATGGGGCTGCTGCAAAGGCCGTTAAGTGTGAAAAATGGTGCTAGGTCACTTTTTTCAGTGCCATTGTAACTTTGTAGTAAATCCAGGACTAGCTGTACTGCCAAAAGTTAGTTCTGCCGCTGAATGGCAGCTGAAGTCCAATACTCCCATTTGACAATACTGACATTTATAAACGTGCTAGGAGGAATTGAGGATTGAATCCTCTCTTCATGCAGTTTTATGATTTGCCGTTCTATTTCTTTTCTTAAACCACCCTCCTCTGCATCCTTTAATCCCCACCTCAGCCCTGCAGCAAATCCCTGTAAATTGCTCAATTCCTTTCTTTAGAGCTTGAGAATTGTTTCTAGAGAGGAATGCCTCTTCTGTGCCTCTGCATGAGTCTGTCTTCACCGTATCTCCCATCTCCTGCTGAAATGGGTAGCCCCCCCCCCAAGAATATCAAATGGTTCCTCTTTCTTAATGTAATAAGAAGATCATGCCATTCCAGAGAACAGGCTTTAGATAAATTTCTTCCACAAACTTGTGCCTGTTTTGCACCTAGGGATCCCCACTCACCCACTTGACTCAAAGAAACAAATTAGGAAGGATTCTAAATTGTGCAAGCAACAAATGTATTTCCGTACTTGGCGTTGACAAAAAATGTAGTGATGTGCATCAGACACACACAACAGGAGAGCAGAGTGAGCCCTTTCTCTCTTTAATCCTGTGGTGTTCCCTGCACATCTGTAGGGAAAATCATGGAAAGACCAGCGTGCTTAGTTAATTGAAGAGGAATGACCAGAAAGCTTGTACAGATAAACAAAAGCTTGCATCTTTTTAATCTGCCAGGGGTCTTGTTAGAGGGATCTCTTTCTGCAGGGGGCTGTGGAATTCACAGAGAAGAGACAGATCCTTCTACTAACAAACTGCTTAATAAGCCAGCTTAGAAACTTGTTCTGGTTTTCTATGTCATTGTATTAGCCAAGATACTTCTAGTTCCCAAATTCTGTTCCTCTGAAGACATATAGGCTTCTACGCACAAGTTTCCCACAACCCCTGGAATGATCCTACTTAAAACCGAGTTTCTTTTAACATCATCCAACCGCGTCCTCATGTTACTTCAGGACAATTAAAGATGCTGCAAGTCTTTAAACCAGCATTTGCCAATCTTGGCAAGTTTACACTATGTGGACTTCAATTCCCAGAATTCTCTAGCCAGAAATTCATCTTGCACTAACACCACTGTCCTTGCCTTGTAACTGAGCTTCCACGGGCATGCATGGTTTATATCGCACCCCACAAACTGGTTTATTAAAAAAAAAAAAGAGTTAAAACACACTGAGGCTTAGTGCAAAGTGTACATCAAGACTTCAGCCCGGAAGAGACGTTTGGCTGTGTTTAATTAGATTTATTCTCAGGCAATTATCAATTTTGTTATGAAGAGGTATTTATCCATCCATTTCTATCAGCTTCCCATGAGAGAAACAATCACAATCTGACACCATGGTTCTACAGCAAAGAAAGGGGATCAAGCGCCTGCTTTTTTTTGTGGCTGAGAGTTTAAAAGAAAACTTTTTTTACAAAGTCCCTAGGATGTACCTTTAAGGGCACCTCGAAAAAAAAAGGTGGAATTTTGCTCCCAAAATGTCCTACTGAGTCGCGGAGGAAATGTTTTTATTTTGGGAAAAAGAAGGGCGAGAGGTCCAAGGCAGACTTTATGAGCAATCAGAGCCAAAAAAAAAAAAAAAATGGGGACGGTGTTTCCTTTGCATCGCAAATGCCAGCACACAAAATAGGGGGTTTCATTCCCTATCTCTTGCAGAGAGCTCATTCTAAAAAAGGGTGTAATTCATTTTTTCAGTCGCGGGCCGCACAATCAGCTGCCGGCCACTTCCACGAGAGACGCTCCTACGAAGGGAGGCGGGGACGGGGGGGGGGGAAGCCTGGAAGGAAGGAAGGAAGGAAGGAAGGAAGAAAGCAAGCAAGCACTTCCTCCCAACTAGTCTGGTCCTGCAAAATAAATAAATAAAAAAAAAATCCTCTGACATCCTCGGCGTAAGAGAGGCAGATAAAAGCACCGAAACCAATTTTCCTTTCTTTTTTCTTTTTCCTTTCTTTCTCTCCTAACCAGGGGCGGGGGCGGGGGACGAGGGGGAAGCAACAAGTGGGACCCTGCGATCGCCCCTTCTCCCCAGCGAGTAAAGTTCCCCGGGCCGAGAAGGAAGAAAGCCCCCCCCCCCAATATTTTCCCACCGCGGGTGTGCGCGTGCGTCGGGAGAGCCGGGCTTCCTCCTCTCCCCTCCGCCTCCCCCCCCCCACCCCCCCGGCAGCCCAACCTTACCTTGCAGGAGTAGGTCTGGTGCACCGGGTCGACGTTGAGGATCTCCTCCACCGTGCCCGTGAGGACGACGTTGGCGTCCTCCTCCCGCCGCTCCAGCTCTTTCTCCGGGCAGCTTGTGTTGCAACGGGCCGGCCACGAGGCCAGCAGCAGCAGCACCAGCAGCAGCAGCAGCGAGAGGCGGAGAGGAGGAGGAGGCGGCGGCAGGCAGGCGGCGGCGGCGGGGGGCGATCCGGGGAAGCCCTTCGCCCGCCGCATCGCGGCACAATAGAGGAACCCGCGAGGCAGCCGGAGTTTGCGCGCCTCCCCCGCGGCGATCCTAAGTTGCGGGGGGAAAGTGCGGCCGGGAGGGAGGTGGGGGGGCTGGAGAAAGAAGACCGGGGGGAGAGAGAGAGAGCGAGCGAGCGAGCGAGCTCCGTCCCTTCCCGGCTCAGGCTGGCCGCCTCCTTCGGCAGGGGCAGAAAAGGGCTCCGGCGGGGGCGGGGGGAGCAATTTGCATGCGCCTCTGAATTGCGGAGAAGAGGAAGGAGGAGGAGGAAGGGTGGGAGAGAGAGAGAGAGAGAGAGAAAGAAGGGAAGGAAAGAAAGCCGGGCTGCGCTGCCCGCCTCTGCGGCCGCGGACGGAGGAAAGAGAGAGGGGGGGGGACCCCGGCAGAGAGAGACCGCCCCTGTCCGCCGCTGGAACCGACGCCGCTCCGCTTAATGGCTAAACGCGCCGCCGCCGCACGTGATGTGACTTGCCAAGGTGCAGCGCTGGGCTCCAGGCTCTCCGGGGGCGGGCGAGGAAGGCGGAGCCCGCCGCTCGGACGGCGCTGCCTGGGCGGAAGGCGGAGAGGGAGGGAGGCAGGGAGGGAGGGGGAGGCGCCTCCCGCCCTCTTGTCGCCGGGCGTTCCGCAGGGCGCTCCGAGGATCGCTTGCGAGGGAGGGAGGGAGTCTTTGGGGAGGGGGCGCCCCCCAAGGGTCTTGCCCTGGAGTGTGTGTGGGGGGGGGAAGGACCCTCCACCACCACCCCGTTTTTGGACGGGTCGGCGGCGTCTCCTTCGGCCACCCACGCGGAAAGTGTGTGTGTGTGTGTGTGTGTGTGTGTGTCAGGGGCGCTGCCTGGGCGGAAGGCGGAGGGGGAGGGAGGCAGGGAGGGAGGGGGAGGCGCCTCCCGCCCTCTTGTCGCCGGGCGTTCCGCAGGGCGCTCCGAGGATCGCTTGCGAGGGAGGGAGGGAGTCTTTGGGGAGGGGGCGCCCCCCAAGGGTCTTGCCCTGGAGTGTGTGTGGGGGGGGGAAGGACCCTCCACCACCACCCCGTTTTTGGACGGGTCGGCGGCGTCTCCTTCGGCCACCCACGCGGAAAGTGTGTGTGTGTGTGTGTGTGTGTGTGTGTGTGTGTGTGTGTGTGTGTGTGTGTGTGTGTGTGTGTGTGTGTGTGTGTGTGTGTGTGTGTGTGTCAGGGCAAAGGGGAGAGAGCCGAACCCAGTTTACTCCGGGAGAGTCCCGGGGACTCGCGGCAACCCCGGCCTTGAAGCAGCGAAACTCCCCCCCCCCCCGCGAGAGAGGGGAACGGATGTGGGGTCCGCGTTGGTGGTTACTGCAGTTGGGAAAGCTGGCTGGGACCTTCCCGGGGCTGACCGCGGTTAAGTTGTGGCGTTGGAGCCGGGTGGAGAAAGCCGGATGAAAGGGTCGGACTTGGGTTCTTGGTCTTGTCTCTCCATCTGGTGGGCTTTCTGCAGAATCGGAACACGTCGCTCCTGCCTCGAGCTTGCCTCCAGTATTTGTGGGTGCTGCAACAGTGGACATTTTTAAGAAAAGACTTGTACATCCATTTGTCTGAAATGATATAGGGTTTCCTGCCTGAGCAGGGGGTTGGACTAGAAGACCTCAAAGGTCCCGTCCAAACCCGTTATTCTGTTATATTTCCTGTTTCCTCAATCGACAGGAAATTTGTTCTTTTTTCCCCCGGCTCTGAAGTCCCACTGCCTTCAGCGGGGCCGACTCTGATCTGAAATCTTTCCAAAAGATGATCCATTTGATTTCCAAATATTTGGGACAACAGTTTCCATCAGGCCCAGTGGAGGCAGGGGACGGAGGGAGTTGTAGTCTGAAGCAGGTTGCCTACGTGGCTACATCCTCTGCTTTGGGTGCCTGAAGAAAAAAAAATCCCATTTCTCTGTTGAGATTATTGGTTTATTTACAGTTCTGTGATAAAAGTAACACAAAGAGGCCCTCTTTTTTTGTCCAAAGCTCCTGGTGTTTACACTCTACACAGAGCCCTTAAAACAGCTTGGGGATATCTTGTCAATCATCAACTTTTAGGAAGCTCTCCCAGATTACTGAACAATTAAAAAAGATTTTCCCAGTGCAGTTTTCTTGTCTAAATCAAGCTCACGTCTTTGAGAAAATATTTGCGCTGGGTTCAAACGGATGCGCCGTTTCCTTACATGTGCACTTTTATCTGTTTAAAATTCAACCTCTGTCAGTGACATTGGACATTTGAAAAGTATTTGGGCTTTGCTGCAACAGTCCATCTCCCTGGATGACCGCCCCTGGGAGACCATTCCTCCATCAGACCTTGCTTGCTTAGATAATGATTTTCAGATAACTAAATTTATTAAGGGGAGCTGGGCCAGGGCTGGAATATGTTCTGAAGGAAAAAAGGGAATGTGTGTAGTTGCCAAACAAAAAGATAGATAATCCTCTTTGTTTCCTCAGCTGAGGTCACAGGAAAGCACTGTGGGGTTTTTTTTTTTAGAGCGTTTGGGTCCTTTTTTGGATTTTATTATTGTGTTTCCTGCCATTTTCATTATTGTCAGTCACATTTTCGACGACATGCTTCCTTTTTCTGGTGCCTTCACATGTACTGGACTGCAACTCCCATTAATGGCCCAGCTGGATAGGAATGGTGGGTGCTGAAGAGACCATACTGGAGGCAATGGCTGGTTTAACTGGGTTTCAGAGGAGACCAGCTTAATCTTGGGCTGGCAAAACAAGCAACAGGCAAAGATATTCGTTCTGAAAATTCATCTGTGCAATTGTTGTATGTGTAGCCCTTCTTGTTTAGTGGTCCAGCAAGATAAATGATCCCAAATTCCTTGCATTTATTCCAAGCAATAGATGGAATGCTGTCAAAAAAAAAACAAAACCTCGCCTGAAGTTTTGGGGATGTGTGAATAATTCAAAGCGTGAGAGATGTAACTGTCCGATCCCATACAGCAACTTTTCTGTTGGGTACAGTCCTTTCTTTACAGCCGCCAGGGCTGCCCTTTGGATGGGGGACCACCAGGAGATGCCAGAACTGTAAACTAGCCTGGGAAACTGAAGAAAGATCTGAGAAGACGGCAGTGGTGAGCTGTTTCCATGTTGCTGCTCAGAAAATGACAGGGAAAGGGAACAATAATCGAGCTTGCTTCAATGGAGGTCTGTATTCCCGAGACATCTTCCGTCGATGCTAACACTTCTGAGCATTACTGATATCCTTCAGAAGGTATATCTGCTGGCAGAAAGGGGCCATGCCCTAGATTAAGATCTGAAGGAATTGCTTGGAAGGAATTGTGCAACTCCTGAGTCAGCCTGGAGGAATGACCAAAGCTATGAGGTGGGGGCAGATGTTCAGGTTTTGGCTGATGAGGCATTCAACCCACATCCTGAAGTCTTGGTAGATCCTTCAAGAAGGAGGACAACTTGACAAGGGCTAGGGCTTGGCAGAGCTCAAAGGGGGCATTGCTTTTGAATTACACATCGGAAGAGAAGGAGGGGGGAACTGTTCTTTGATGTCCCTGAAAAGCTCCAAGGTGTAATAAAGCATGAACAAGCCCCGTTGCTATAATTGTTCCCCACACTTGGTGACGCAGTGTGCTGCTTCTGAACATACACGTCCCTTTTTTTTAATAGACTCAGAATAATAGAGTTGGAAGGGACCTTGAAGGTCATCTAATCTGACCCTCTGCTCAAGGCAGGAGTCTTCATTTCACTCTGGACAAACAGAATGTCCAGTCTCTTCTTAAACACCTCCAGTGATGGAGCATCCACAACTTCTGAAGGCAACACGTTCCACTGGTTAATTGTCCTCACTGTCAGGAAGTTTCTCCTTAATTCCAGGTTGCTTCTCTCCTTGATGAGTTTCCACTTGTTGCTTCTTGTCCTGCCTTCAGGCACTTTGGAGAATAGCTTGACTCCCTCTTCTTTGGGGCAGCCGCTCAAGTACTGGAAGACTGCTAGTCCTTCTTTTTGTTAGACTCCAGTGAGGTCTCTTCGCTAGAGGTCCTCCTTTTTAAGAAGCCTCCATAAATACTCTTGGGTCTTCAGCAGCCTTGCTCTGCTTCCATTTCCACGCTCAAAACCATGGAAGGAAAAGGAGTAGCTTTGCACCCAGAGCCAGAGTATGAGTGGAATGGAGCCTCCGTTGAACAGCTTCAATATGTTCAAAACAAAGGGAGGAGAAAGGGTGTTCTTGTGCCTTAGAGTTGTCCAAGAAACAGTCAGTGTGGAAATAAAGATGCCAGGTGACAGAGTTTAGAGTTCATATTTGGAATTTAAAATACCATCCTCCTTCCTTAACCTCCAGTAAGTTGGACTGATATATACCCATGTTCTTCACACCATGCCTCCCTGTTGTCCACATCTACCAGATGCCCACCCTATCCTTGCTCCCCGTTTTTTTTTTTTTTTCTTAGCTAAAAAGCCCCAACTCTAAACTTTCGTTAGCTTTCTGCTTTTTAGGCCTCTTCCTGATCATTTTTTAAAGCCATTTTCATCTTGCAACATCCTTTTCAAAAGAGCGATATTTCATCGCAATAAAAAGAGCAATGTTTTATTATTTCACTTGGAATTTACCTTCTTTATGGCTATCTGAGCCTTACCGTGCATCATAGCTTACATGTTACTGTAATTGGTCACAGATCTTCCTTACTTAGGGGCAGTCTATATGCTCAAGGTCATTGGCTGGTTCATCTTGGATATAGCTGGAATGCTTGGAACCGTCCAGGAAGAATTCTTACATGGCTTTCGTTCAAAGAACACACTAGCCTGCGATTTTGAAGCCTAAATCCCAACTGATTGGATTCATACAATGCCACAGAGCGTCATTTACAGACCACCTAGCCATATGTAATTTATATCATTATTGCTATAATTCTAATTACAGTTTAATGTCATTTTTTGGGTGCAGGAAAATAACAAATGGTCCATGACAAATGACAATGCCTAACCGTTTGTTCTTTCAAATCTGAAAAAGCTGAATGCTGGGCCAAGTGGGGTGGGGGTTAGAGAAACATGAAGAACGGTGGCAGGAATCGGGTATGTCTAGTTTAAGAAGAGAAGGGTGAGGGGGGACATGATAGCCGTGTTCCAATATCTCAGGGGCTGCCCCAAAGAAGAGGGAGTCAAGCTATTCTCCAAAGCGCCTGAAGGCAGGACAAGAAGCAACAGATGGAAACTTACCAAGAACAAAAGTAACTAAGAACTAAGGAGAAATATCCTGACAGTTAGAACAATTAATCAGTGGAACACCCTGCCTCCAGAAGTCGTGAATGCTTCAACCCTGGAGGTTTTTAAGAAGAGACTGGACAACCATTTGTCTGAAATGGTATCGGGTCTCCTGCTTGAGGTGGGGGGGGGTTGGACTAGATGACCTCCAAGGTCTCTTCCAACTCTGCTATCCTGTTACTGTTAAGGTTCTCCACTTTGAAATCTCATTTTAAAATTGCATTGGAATTAATGCCTTGGCTGACGATGCAATTGCCATCCTAACTGTAGAGGTACCCAAATGCTGATGAACAGAATAAAAATGTACTCTG